CCCTGGCTAGCCACCCATGACCCCAGTATTTCGTGGCAACAGAGGGCTCTTAAGGGATGGTCACCTCAGTGCTCGGGAAGGTGTGTACGTGTTTCCATAGGGGCAACCACGGTGGAGAGTCCAAACCATGTCTCCCCAATGTACATTCCCTCAGAATATGCAGATTTGGCTCTCGCCTTCTGTAAAAGGAAGGCGACTCAATTACCACCCCATCGACGAGGGGATTGTGCGATAGATCTCCGTGAGGGTGCTGCACTTCCCAGGAGTCACGTGTATCCTCTGTCACAGGAGGAGACTGTGGCTATGGAGACTTATGTCACCGAATTTCTGGGACAGGGATACATTCGGCCCTCCACTTCCCTTGCCTCCTCAAGTTTCTTTTTTGTGAAGAAGAAGGATGGAGGTTTACGCCCGTGCATTGACTATCGAGGTCTAAATCAGAAAACCTTAAAATACAGCTATCCTCTTCCTCTCATTGCTAGTATGACGGAGTCATTGCACGGTGCACGCTTCTTCACAAAATTGGACCTCAGGAGCGCGTACAATCTGATCCGTATCCGGGAGGGGGACAAGTGGAAGACGGCATTTAGTACCACCTCTGGTCACTATGAGTACCTCGTCATGCCGTACGGGTTGATGAATGCTCCCTCAGTATTTCATTCCTTTGTCGATGAGATTTTCAGGGACCTGCACGGACAGGGTGTAGTGGTGTATATAGATGATATTCTCATATACTCCGCTACACGCGACGAGCATGTGTCCCTGGTGCCCAAGGTGCTTGGTAGACTGTTGGAGCATGACCTGTACGTTAAGGTTGAGAAATGTCTGTTCTTCAGACAGTCCGTCTCCTTCTTAGGATACCGCTTGTCAGAGTCAGGGGTCGAGATGGAGTGTGACCGCATTTCAGCCGTGCGTAATTGGCCGACTCCTACCACGGTAAAGGAGGTGCAGCGATTTTTGGGTTTTGCCAACTACTACCGGAGATTTATCCGGGGCTTTGGCCAGGTAGCAGCTCCCATAACCTCTTTGCTAAAGGGCGGTTCGGTCCGCCTGCAGTGGTCAGCGGAGGCGAACAGGGCCTGTCTCCCTTTCAGTGTGTACTAGGTTACCAGCCGGTCCTGGCACCGTGGCATCAGAGCCAGATCGAGGCTCCTGCGCTGGATTAATGGTTTCGGCGCTCGGAGGAGACATGGGACACTGCCCATGTATGCCTGCAAAGGGCGATTAGGAGACAGAAGGCGAGTGCCGACCGCCACCGCAGTGAGGCTCCGGGTTATGCACCGGGGGACCGGGTCTGGCTCTCGACCCGAAACCTGCCCCTTCGCCTGCCCTGCCGGAAACTGGGTCGGCGGTTTGTGGGGCCCTTTAAAGTCCTGAGGAGGTTGAACAAGGTTTGTTATAGGTTACAGCTCCCCCCGATTACCGTATTAACCCCTCGTTCCATGTGTCTCTCCTCAGGCCGGTGGTAGCTGGTCCGCTCCAGGAGTCCGAGGTGCGGGAGGCTCCTCCGCCCCGATTGGACATTGAGGTGGCACCGGCGTACTCGGTCCGTTCCATCATGGATTCGAGGCGTCGGGTTGGAGGCCTGCAGTATCTCGTGGAGTGGGAGGGGTACGGTCCGGAGGAACGGAGCTGGGTTCCCAAGAGGGACATCCTCGATCCCTCCTTGTTAAGGGAGTTCCATCGTCGTCATCCGACTCGCCCTGCTCTGCGTCCTCCTGGCCGTCCCCGAGGCCGGTGTCGACGCACGGCTGGACCCGCACGTCAGGGGGTACTGTCACGGACACGGCCAAGGCTGCCCCTCCTCCTCGTTCGGGCAGGGTTCGGCGGTCGTCGTCACCGGAGTACTAGCTGCCACCGATCGATGTTTCTGTGTCTCACTAGTTCTGTCTGTATTGTTCATACCTGTTACCCATTAGGCTTATTAGTTTCCCTATATTACCTCTGTTTTCCCTCCTGAGTGTGTGCGTGATTATTCTTGTTACGTCGTCTGTTGAGCTGTTGTTTTTGCTCTTCTCTGCGTGGAGGGTTTGCATTATTTACTTGGAGTCGAGTAAAGCCATTTAATTCTCAGTTCTGTGTCCTGCGCCTGATTCCGTTTACCCACTGCACCCAGACGCTGACAGGGACCTTATATTGACAGGTGTGTGCCTTTCCAAATCATGTCCAATCAATTGAATTTACCATAAGTGGACTCCAATCAAGTTGTAGAAACATCTCAAGGATGATTAATGGAAAAGGATGCACCTGAGCTCAATTTCGAGTCTCATAGCAAGGGTCTAAATACTTATGTAAATATTATATTTCAGTTTTTTATTTTGAAAATATTAGCAACAATTCTAAAAAACAGTTTTCGCTTTGTCATTATTGTTTATTGTATGTAGATTGATTAGGCTTTTTATTTTATTAAATCCATTTAAGAATAAGGCTGTAACGTAACAAAATGTAGAAAAAAGGAAGGGGTCTGAATACTTTCCGAATGCACTTACTATCAACTGTGGCCTAAAACATTTTATTGTCTTTTCCCTGACATATCTCAATCAATCAAAAGTTATATGAACAGTGATCAGGCCTGATACTAAACTAAGCTTAACACTCAATACTATTTTTTCCCCTCCTGACATGATACTTCATTTCATAGCATTTAACATAACCAAGTTAAGGAGGGAAATGATCCCTTCTGAATGAACAGACAGAGGTTTGCGTTCAAGCCAAGGACCTTTGTTTAAAATATGTGAAATTATTCAAGCGAACATTTAATCACATCCAATTACAGGGAGAGAACTGTTGTTTTTGTAACGAAATTTAAACACATCATGCATTATTCGACTACTGATCAATCCTCTTAGTTAATCCCTCAGCAAACCATTCCTGGAAATACAGAGAGAAAAAAGCCAATGTCTGGATGTTCTGCTGCTTATAGGAAAATAAAGTGAGGACCTGTCAAGATCCATAGAGCGGTATGAAACTTCACCACAACCTCATCTCCTAGCCAACTAGCTAACCTAAATTGCTGCATGGGTCAAATAGTGTTAAATATTCTTACCACATTCTAACCAAAACTTGTAGTTATTACTAGGGTCATATGAAGTATGAAGGACCACATCCCTCTAGGGAAGTCTTGCTCCTGACAGTGTAAAGTTGATTCTATGACAGGAGAAGCATAAGGGGAAAGTGCACTGAATAACTAAGCTACAGTGAGGGAAAAAAGTATTTGATCCCCTGCTGATTTTGTACGTTTGCCCACTGACAAAGACATGATCAGTATATAATTTTAATGGTAGGTTTATTTGAACAGTGAGAGACAGAATAACAACAAAAAAATCCAGAATAACACATTTCAAAAATGTTAGAAATTTATTTGCATTTTAATGAGGGAAATAAGTATTTGACCCCCTCTCAATCAGAAAGATTTCTGTCTCCCGGTGTCTTTTATACAGGTAACGAGCTGAGATTAGGAGCACACTCTTAAAGGGAGTGTTCCTAATCTCAGCTTGTTACCTGTATAAAAGACACCTGTCAACAGAAGCAATCAATTAATCAGATTCCAAACTCTCCACCATGGCCAAGACCAAAGAGCTCTCCAAGGATGTCAGGGACAAGATTGTACACCTACACAAGGCTGGAATGGGCTACAAGACCATCGCCAAGCAGCATGGTGAGAAGGTGACAACAGTTGGAAACATAAAATAACTGTCAATCTCCCTCGGCCCTGGGCTCCATGCAAGATCTCACCTCGTGGAGTTGCAATGATCATGAGAACGGTAAGGAATCAGCCCAGAACTACACGGGAGGATCTTTTCAATGATCTCAAGGCAGCTGGGACCATAGTCACCAAGAAAACAATTGGTAAAACACTACGCCGTGAAGGACTGAAATCCTGCAGCGCCCGCAAGGTCCCCCTGCTCAAGAAAGCACATATACAGGGCCTTCTGAAGATTGCCAATGAACATCTGAATGATTCAGAGGAGAACTCGGTGAATCGAGCTCTTTGGCATCAACTCAACTCGCCGTGTTTGGAGGAGGAGGAATGTTGCCTATGACCCCAAGAACAACACCCCCACCATCAAATATGGAGGTGGAAACATTATGTTTTGGGGGTGTTTTTCTGCTAAGGGGACAGGACAACTTCACCGCATCAAAGGGACGATGGACGGGGCCATATACCGTCAAATCTTGGGTGAGAACCTCCTTCCCTCAGCCAGGGTATTGAAAATGGGTCGTGGATGGGTATTCCAGCATGACAATGACCCAAAACATACGGCCAAGGCAACAAAGGAGACTGTCTCCAGACCTTAATCCCATAGAAAATCTGTGGAGGGAGCTGAAGGTTCGAGTTGCCAAACGTCAGCCTCGAAACCTTAATGACTTGGAGAAGATCTGCAAAGAGGTGTGGAACAAAATCCCTCCTGAGATGTGTGCAAATCTGGTGGCCAACTACAAGAAACGTCTGACCTCTGTGATTGCCAACAAGGGTTTTGCCACCAAGTACTAAGTCATGTTTTGCAGAGGGGTCAAATACTTATTTCCCTCATTAAAATGCAAATCAATTTATAACATTTTTGTTGTTGTTATTCTGTCTCTCACTGTTCAAATAAACCTACCATTAAAATTATAGACTGATCATGTCTTTGTCAATGGGTAAACGTACAAAATCAGCAGGGGATCAAATACTTTTTTCCCTCACTGTAAGTGACTGGCAACCCCATAGAATCAACTTTACACTCTTAGGAGCAAGACTTCCCTAGAGAGATGTGGTCCTTCATACTTCATATGACCCTTGTAATAACTACACGTAACTACACGTATTATGTGTATAACATATGTATAAGAAAAGTTACTTGTTTCTTTTAGCTGCCAGTGGAGCAAAGGGCCACAAGTGCATCTGCAGCAATATAACAGATGATAAACTGTTCTTTACTGTTAAAGTCCATGGTGATGGAAGGGTATGGTCTGTTTTTCTGTTCTATTCTATGAAGATTACGGTATGATTTGGTGTGCTACCTCTCGACGAAGGTGCCAAACAGCAGTCTGATGGTCTTCTGGATGTTCTCAGTGCACAGCCAGCTCCACTGGTCCTTCATCAGCAGACACAGGATGTTCAGAGGTACGTCCGCCACGGCCGTGTCTGCAGCACCGTCACACATACACAGAGTCAGAGTCAGATTCACACATACAGTCACGCATGCAAGCAACAGATACAAAACAGATATAAAATGTGCTAGATGGTACAAATACTGGGCCATGGTTCTGAAACAAGAATAAAGGCAAATGGATAGATAGCCTCAGATAGATAGTAAACACTGCATCCTCAAAACAGTGGTATGGTGCTTCCCTCCAGAGGCTGTGCAAGGTTATACCACCTTCTGGACATAACTGAGTGGAGTATGCTCATTTTAGATTATCTAATTTAGAAAGTAATAATATTGACATATCTGTTTTGCAGAGACAGTCCACATAGAGACAGTCAGCTTTATGACAGTCTATCATGTACACTCAGAAAAAAAGATGCTACGTTCATAGAGGGTTTGTACCCATAAGGTAACCATTTTTGATGCTGGGTAGATACCTTTGCAGAAGATGCTATCTAGGACCCTCTATGTATATGGATCTACTTAGAACCCTCTATGAAAGTTTCTGCCGAGAACCCTATATAAAAGGTTCTACCAAGAACCATTTTGTCATCTAAAGGTTCTTCCTAGAACCGTCTATGAAGGATTCTACCGAGAACCCTTTTATTTTTGGACAGCTCTTAATACAACCCTCTATGAACCGTTCCACCAGCCTTATTAGCCTTTAAATGTTATTATTTATGACAATATTTTACATATATAATTGAGGGCATAGTTATACCCTAACACAATGGTGTTATGAATCTCCTGGTTTACAGTAGTGATGGGGAAACCAATCTTCCTGAAGCATTGAGGTTTTCTAGCCAATTGTGTCCAAAAAGGTTAATTACTCAAGGTTTTGATCAAAACAGTGTAAACTAGTGGCACCTGCTGGTCAAAATAATTTAGAGCAGCCAAATTGTACTGAACAAAAATATAAACGCAACATGCAACAATTACAAAGAGTTTACTGAGTTACAGTTCATAGAAGGAAATCAGTCAATTTTAAATGAATTCATTAGGCCCTAATCTATGGATTTCAAATGACTGGGCAGGGGCACCGCCATGGGTGAGCCTGGGAGGGCATAGGCCCACCCACTGGGGAGCCAGGCCAAGCCAATCATAATGAGTTTTCCCACAAAATAAATTATCCTCAGCCCCCCCCCCTCCCCCTCCCCATCCTCAGGTGAAGAAGCCGGATGTGGAGGTCCTGGGTTGGCGTGGTTACACGTTGTCTGCGGGTGTGAGAGTGGTTGGACGTACTGCCAAATTCTCTAAAACAACATTGGTGACTTATGGTAGAGAAATTAATATTCAATTACCTGGCAACAGCTGTTGGACATTCCTGCAGTCAGCATTCCAATTGCACCCTCCTTCAGAACTTGAGACATCTGTGGCATTGTGTTGTGTGACAAAACTGCACCTTTTATAGTGGCCTTTTATTGTCCCCAGCAAAAGGTGCACCTGTGTAATGATCATGCTGGTTAATCAACTTCTTCATATGCCACACCTGTCAGGTGGATGGATTATCTTGGCAAAGGAGAAATGCTCACTAACAGGGATATAAACAAATTTGTACACAACATTTGAGAGAAATAAGCTTTTTGTGCATATGGAACATGTCTGGGATATTTTATTTCAGCTCATTAAACATGGGACCAAAACTTTACATGTTGCGTTTATATTTTTGTTCAGTATATTATAAATGATGTCCCACAAACGTAGCATGTGCGCAGCCTAACCTTTCTGTCTTCTACCAAACCAATTAGGTTGTTGTTTGACGAAACACAGCTTTGGACGTCATTGATCACATGCACACTGCTTCAAAGTACACTGCTTAGCGATTTCTATGCATGCCTCAGAGCTCCGGCATCAAACATAACATCACCAGTTTACACACCACATCAGGCCTGCAAGTCACATTATGCTGGCTTGCAAAGTGAAGTGTAATGTCCAACAAGTGGAATTGTAATCACCTGCAACCTGCATTATGAAAGACTGCCAGGATAAGGAAGATTGAATGCTGACACTACCTCAATCATATTAACTGGAACTACCATCTCAGATTGGATTAGTTTAAAAAACGGTATGTTATTTATCTTTGTGTAGCATAAAATTAAGCAACCAATCAATTGAAGTCGGAAGTTTACATACACTTAGGTTGGAGTCATTAAAACTTGTTTTTCATCCACTCCACAAATTTCTTGTTAACGAACTATGGTTATGGCAAGTCGGTTAGGACATCTACTTTGTGCATGACACAAGTAATATTTCCAACAATTGTTTACAGACAGATTATTTCACTTATAATTCACTGTATTACAATTCCAGTAGGTCAGAAGTTTACATACACTAAGTTGACTGTGCCTTTAAACAGCTTGGAAAATTCCAGAATATGATGTCATGGCTTTAGAAACTTCTGATAGGCTAATTGACATAATTTGAGTCAATTGGAGTAGTACCTGTGGATGTATTTCAAGGCCTACCTTCAAACTCAGTGCCTCTTTGCTTGACATCATGGGAACATCAAAATAAATCAGCCAAGACCTCAGAAAAATAATTGTAGACCTCCACAAGTCTGGTTCATCCTTGGGAGCAATTTCCAAATGCCTGAAGGTATCATGTTCATCTATACAAACAATAGTACGCAAGTATAAACACCATGGGACCACGCAGCCGTCATACCGCTCAGGAAGGATACGCGTTCTGTCTCCTAGAGATGAACGTATTTTGGTGCGAAAAGTGCAAATCAATCCCAGAACAACAGCAACGGACCTTGTGAAGATGCTGGAAGAAACAGGTACAAAAGTATCTATATCCACAGTAAAACGAGTCCTATATCGACATAACCTGAAAGGCCGCTCAGCAAGGAAGAAGCCACTGCTCCAAAACCGCCATAAAAAAGCCAGACTATGGTTTGCAACTGCACATGGGGACAAAGATTGTACTTTTTGGAGAAATGTCCTCTGGTCTGATGAAACAAAAAATAGAACTGTTTGGCAAACATTTGCAGTAGAATGGCCTTACTGAAGAGCTCAGTGATTTTCAACGTGGTACCGTCATAGGATGCCACCTTTCCAACAAGTCAGTTCGTCAAATTTCTGCCCTACTAGAGCTGCCCCGATCAACTGTAAGTGCTGTTATTGTGAAGTAGAAACTTCTAGGAGCAACAACGACTCAACCGCAAAGTGGTAGGCCACACAAGCTCACAGAACGGGACCGCCGAGTGCTGAAGCGCGTGGTGTGTAAAAATTGTCTGTCCTCGGTTGCAACACTCACTACAGAGTTCCAAACTGCCTCTGTAAGCAAAGTCAGGGCAAGAACTGTCCGGGAGCTTCATGAAATGGGTTTCCATGGCCGAGCAGTCGCACACAAGCCTAATATCCCTATGCACAATGCCAAGCGTCGGCTGGAGTGGTGTGAAGCACTCTGCCATAGGACTCTGGAGCAATGGAAACGCTTTCTCTGGAGTGATGAATCACGCTTCACCATCTGGCAGTCCGATGGACAAATCTGGGTTTGGCGGAGGCCAGGAGAACGCTACCTGCCCGAATGCATAGTGCCAACTGTAAAGTTTGGTTGAGTAGGAATAATGGTCTGGGGCTGTTTTTCATGGTTCGGGCTAGGCCCCTTAGTCCCAGTGAAGCGAAATCTTAATGCTACAGCATACAATGACATTCTAGATGATTCTGTGCTTCCAACTTTGTGGCAACAGTTTGGGGAAGGTCCTTTCTTGTTTCAGCATGACAATGCCCCGTGCACAAATTGAGGGCCATACAGAAATGGTTTGTCGAGATCAGTGTGGAAGAACTTGACTGCCCTGCACAGAGCCCTGACCTCAACCCCATCGAACACCTTTGGGATGAAGTGGAATGCAGACTGCGAGCCAGGCCTAATTGCCCAACATCAGTGCCCAACCTCACTAATGCTCTTGTGGCTAAATGGAAGCAAGTCCCCGCAGCAATGTTCCAACATCTAGTGGAAAGCCTTCCGAGAAGAGTGGATGCTGTTATAGCAGCAAAGGGGGGACCAACACCATATTAATACCCATGATTTTGGAATGAGATGTTCGATGAGCAGGTGTCCACATACTTTTGGTCATATAGTGTTTTACAGTAAAACAAACAATTCTGAAAATCTCCCTGCAATAAAGCATGCTGGGAAATATTATGTATGGTTATATGTAGAATCCTTATTGCCTTCCAAAGATTCCTCAAAGAACCCTTTCTTTCAAAAAGGGTTATTCTGATCAAAATGCTTCTTTGTAGAACACTATCCCTCTGCAAAGAACCCTTTTCTAAGAGTGTAGGAATATAATGGGTTGATAATGCAGGCCCGTGTAGACATTCGACAAACATTACATGTCCCCCGTTGTTCTCTCCCGACCCCCACCTCCCTTCTTGTCTTTGTTAGGCAGCACTCTGAACCTCCACTCATCAGCTTCCCATCTCCTGGGAGCATAGAGCAGAGCCTCCTGGTCCTTTAAAAAGCATTCCAGACCAGACAGGGACAGGTCAAGGAACACCTGCAGAAACAGACCAGAGCATAGAGATGAATGAGTGAGTGAGTGAGTGACAAATTAAACTTCCATGGTTAACTTATAGTGCTCCCTTCATTGAAGCAGTACATGACTTTGGGATGGATTTCAGGTACAGCATGTTGAGAGTAGGGGTGACTTTACTGGAGAACCTCAGCCAGACACACCTAGCATGACAAACAACAAAAATAACCACATTACACATAACAATATAGTTTGACAGGCAAAGATTTTCAGTGTCAAATCTCTTTTGAAATACTTTATTAATATATTAAAACATTTTGTAAACCTCTCTGTAGTTATCAATACACATGCGAAATTGAAAGTTCCCCCAGGAAAATCACGTTATTCTAAGTCTAACGTTTTTTGGTAACTAAAATAGACAGAGAACGAGAGAAAGAAAAAGAGAGAGGGAAGAGAGAGAGAAAGAAGAGAGAGAGAAAGAAGAGAGAGAGAGAAAGAAGAGAGAGAGAGAAAGAAGAGAGAGAGAAAGAAGAGAGAGAGAAAGAAGAGAGAGAGAAAGAGAAAGACTCCCACCTCTTCCTTCCTTCTGGGGCATTCCTCCAATCAGCAGGCTCTGCATCCAGGTCATCCTCAGCACGAGGGAAGTCTGTCTTCAGAATGTTTACAGCATTTGTCATCATCTACAGCAGACAGCAATAACCAGATACAGGATAGGAGGATGCACAGCACAAACCCAGCACCATGGCTAGCTTTAGAAAAAAATGGTAACCAAAAACCACATCTTCCATTATCTCTATCTATCACTTGACATGTTTTTGGCTCAAGTTATCATGCACTGCTTTTATCTCTTAACTGTGAAAGTTGTGACACTGTACATGGTAGGTCACCTTATCAATCCTGGACATAACAAACATTTTCTTCTCGAAGGCTGTGCTGGTGTCTGTGTTAAGAGCCAGGAACTCTTGCATCTCATCGCTGGGCCATCTCAGGAATCGTGCACAGTTGCTGGAGGAAAAGTGATCAGATTACTATGCAACAGTCATATTTGAATACAGGAAGTTATTATTCTTGTTAGATAAACAATTAAATCCCTATTTTAAGAAACGTATCCAGCTGGCCTTTTCCGAACCTCCACCTTGTCAATATCTTGATTTCCTAATGGAAGATCTGGGAAAGTTTTATTGGGTACCTTGACATCTGCAATGGAGAACATGCACAACCTTTAGTGAGTATTGTAGCCATCACATGAAGATGGCCTCCACTTATACAGTGGCTTGGCGAAAGTATTCACCCCCCTTGGCATTTTTCCTATTTTGTTGCCTTCCAACCTGGAATTAAAATAGATTTTTGGGGGGTTTGTATCATTTGATTTACACAACATGCCTACCACTTTGGAGATGCAAAATATTTTTTTTTTGTGTGAAACAAACAAGAAATAATACAAAAAAACTGAAAACTTGAGGGTGCATAACTATTCACCCCTCCAAAGTCAATACTTTGTAGAGCCACCTTTTGCAGCAATTACAGCTGCAAGTCTCTTGGGGTATGTCTCTATAAGCTTGGCACATCTAGCCACTGGGATTTTTGCCCATTCTTCAAGGCAAAACTACTCCATCTCCTTCAAGTTGGATGGGATCCACTGGTGTACAGCAATCTTTGAGTCATACCACAAAATCTCAATTGGACTGATGTCTGGGCTTTGACTAGGGCATTCCAATACATTTAAATGTTTCCCCTTAAGCCACTCGAGTGTTGCTTTAGCAGTATGCTTAGGGTCATTGTCCTGCTGGAAGGTGAACCTCCATCCCAGTCTCAAATCTCTGGAAGATTGAAACAGGTTTCCCTCAAGAATTTCCATGTATTTAGCGCCATCCATCATTCCTTCAATTCTGACCAGTTTCCCAGTCCCTGCCGATGAAAAACATCCCGCAGCATGATGCTGCCACCAACATGCTTCACTGTGGGGATGGTGTTCTCGGGGTGATGAGAAATGTTGGGTTTGAGCAAGACATAGCGTTTTCCTTGATGACCAAAAAGCTAATTTTTTGTCTCATCTGACCAGAGTACCTTTTTCCATATGTTAGGAGAGTCTCCCACATACCTTTAGGCGAACACCAAACGTGTTTGCCTATTTTTTTCTTTAAGCAATGGCTTTTTTTCTGGCCACTCTTCCATACAGCCCAGCTCTGTGGAGTGTACAGCTTAAAGTGGTCCTATGGAGAGATACTCCAATTTTTTTGAAACAAGTAATTTTTTTTCATTTCACTTCACCAATTTGGACTATTTTGTATATGTCCATTACATGAAATCCAAATACCAATCCATTTAAATTACAGGTTGTAATGCAACAAAATAGAAAAAATGCCAATGGGGATGAATACTTTTGCAAGGCACTGTATAGCCCTGCTCTTTCTGAGGATGTAGCCTGGTCCCAGATCTGTTTGTACTGTCTTGCCAACTCATAGGGTAACAATGACCATGGGACTTGGCATGACAGCACAAACAGATCTGGCACCAGGTTACTGAGGATGGACTTCTTACTCTTAATCATCTTCTCTTGAGGTCAGGCTTCTCCTCCAGGCGTGTCTGCAGGTGGAGGAACTAACTGTAGCACTGGACAATAATCAAGATAAAATAAAACTAGAGACTGCAGGACTTGCTTTGTGGAGTGTGCTGTCATAAAAGCAGAGCATCTCTTTATTACGGACAGACCTCTCCCCATCTTTACAACCATTGAATCTATATGTTTTCACCATGACAGTTTATCATCTAAGGTAACACCAAGTAATTTAGTCTCCTGAACTTGTTGAACAGCCACACCATTCATTACCAGATTCAGCTGAGGTCTATAACTTAGGGAATGATTTGTACCAAATACAATGCTCTTAGTTTTAGAGATGTTCAGGACCAGTTTATTACTGGCCCCCCATTCCAAAACAGACTGCAACTCTTTGTTAAGGGTTTCAGTGACTTCATTAGCTATGGTTGCTGATGCATATCTGGTTGAATCATCAGCATACATCGACACACATGCTTTGTTTAATGCCAGTGGCAGATCATTGGTAAAAATAGAAAGGAGTAGAGGGCCTAGAGAGCTGCCTTGTGGTACACCACACGTTATATGTTTGACATTAGAGAAGCTTCCATTAAAGAAAACCCTCTGAGTTCTATTAGCTAGATAGCTCAGAATCCATAACACATACGTTTTCTCAACAACAGGTTATGGTCAATAATATCAAAGGCTGCACTGAAATCTAACAGTGCAGCTCCCACAATCTTCTTATTACCAATTTCTTTCAACCAATCATCAGTTTTGTGTCAGTGCAGTACATGTTGAGTGCCCTTCTCTATAAGCATGCTGAAAGTCTGTTGTTAATTTGTTTACGGAGAAGTAACATTGTATTTGGTCAAACACCATTTTTTTCAACTGTTTGCTAAGAGCTGGCAGCAAACTGACAGGTTGAGCACGCATCTCTGCTCATGGTATACTTGCCTGTGCTCTCTCAGAATCAAACTGTGCTTGCGCAATATGATCTCTGTGTGCTCGCAAATATACAATAGCATGTTACTCAAATATGATTGCCAGCCTTATTGACCAATCATAGCACTGTTTTTTGTTACAATGCAATTGATTGGCTAGCTAAATGGAAGGTGGTACACATACAACGTGATGTTTACATCCCTCGGTAGCTGGCATTGCAACATGGCGGAATCTCAGCAAGGCACTTCTTCTCATGTAAGAAAACTAGCTAGCCAATTCTGCCTAATACCATTTTTATGTGTTTTTGATGATCTCATTTATGTAAAGATTTGCCAGTGGATATCTGTAATGGTAGGCTCAGTAATTCCAGTTTAGATATATTTTTCTGATATGATCAAATCAAATCAAATTGTATTGGCCACATGCGCCGAATACAACAGGTGTACACATTACAGTGAAATGCTTACTTACAGCCCTTAACCAACAATGCATTTATTTATTAAAAAAAAAAGTTAAATAAAACAACAACAACAAAAAAAGTGTTGAGAAAAAAAGCGCAGAATTAAAATAAAATAACAGTAGGGAGGCTATACAGTATATACAGGGGGGTACAGAGTCAATGTGCGGGAGCACCAGCTAGTTGAGGTAGTATGTACATGTGGGTAGAGTTAAAGTGACTATGCAAAAATAATTAACAGAGTAGCAGCAGCGTAACAATATGGGGGGTGGGGGGTTGGGGGGGGGGGGGGGGGGGGGGGGGGGGGAGGGGGGGGGGGGGGGGGGGGTGGGTGGGGTAGAAGATGTGTTGAGAAGTATTTTGGACATAGACTTGGCATAACCATGATGCTGTTCAAAGTTTAGGGGTAGAAGCTGTTAGAGTTTTTGACATAACTTGGCAAGAGCTGCCGGCAGTAGCAGAGAGAACAGTCTATGACTAGGGTGGCTGGAGTCTTTGACAATTTTGAGGGCCTTCCTCTGACACCGCCTGGTATAGAGGTCCTGGATGGAAGGACAATTGGCCCCAGTGATGTACTGGGCTGTACGCACTACCCTCTGTAGTGCCTTGCGGTCAAAGGCCGAGCAGTTGCCATACCAGGTGGTGATGCAACCAGTCAGGATGCTCTCGATGTTGCAGCTGTATTATTTGTTGAGGATCTGAGGACCCATGCCAAATCTTTTCAGTCTCTTGAGGGGGAATAGGCTTTGTCGTGCCCTCTTCACGACTGTCTTGGCGTGTTTGGACCATGATAGTTTGTTGGTGATGTGGACACCAAGGAACTTGAAGCTCTCAACCTATTCCACTACAGCCCCGTCGATGAGAATGGGGGCGTGCTCAGTCCTCTTTTTTTTCCTGTAGTACACAATAATCTCTTTTGTCTTTGTTACGTTGAGGGAGAGGTTGTTATCCTGGCACCACAAGGCCAGGTCTCTGACCTCCTTCCTATAGGCTGTCTCATCGTTTTTGGTGATCAGGCCTACCACTGTTGTGTCGTCGGCAAACTTAATTATGGTGTTGGAGTCGTGCCTGGCCATGCAGTCATGGGTGAACAGGGAGTACAGGAGGGGACTGAGCACGCACCCCTGAGGGGCCCCCGTGTTGAGGATCAGCGTGGCAGATGTGTTGTTACCTACCCTTACCACCTGGCCCGTCACGAAGTCCAGAATCCAGTTGCAGAGGGAGGTGTTTAGTCCCAGGATCCTTAGCTTAGTGATGAGCTTTGAGGGCACTATGGTGTTGAATGCTGAGCTGTAGTCAATGAATAGCATTCTCACGTAGGTGTTCCTCTTGTCCAGGTGGGAAAGGGCAGTGTGGAGTGCAATAGAGATTGCATCATCTGTGGATCTGTTGGGGCGGTATGCAAATTGGAGTGGGTCTAGGGTTTCTGGGATAATGGTGTTGATGTTAGCCATGACCAGCCTTTCAAAGCACTTCATGGCTACAGACGTCAGTGCTACGGGTCGGTAGTCATTTAGGCAGGTTATCTTAGTGTCCTTGGGCAAGGGGACTATGGTGGTCTGCTTGAAACATGTTGGTATTACAAACTCAGTCAGGGACATGTTGAAAATGTCAGTGAAGACACTTGCCAGTTGGTCAGCCCATGCTCGGAGTACACTTTCTGGTAATCCGTCTGGCCCTGCGGCCTTGTGAATGTTGACCTGCTTAAAAGTCTTACTCACATTGGCTGCGGAGAGCGTGATCACATAGTCATCCGGAACAGCTGGTGCTCTCATGCATGCTTCAGTGTTGCTTGCCTCAAAGCTTATTTTAATAAAATAAAATGTTACTATGAAAAGTTTATCACTTGTTTTCTGACCTTTATCAGTCATTGAAATACAGTATGTTGATATATAAATGTAATTCAATTCCAAATCAAATCTAATCTAATTTTATTTGTCACATACACGATTTAGCAGATGTTACAGTGGGTGTAGCGAAATGCTTGTGCTTCTAGCTCCGACAGTGTAGTAATATCTAACAAGTAATATCTAACAATTTCACAACACACAAACTAGTAAGGAATGGAATTTACGAAAAATATACATATATGGACAAGCAATGACGATGCGGCATGGACTAAGATATAGTGGAATATTATAGAAAAGAATGCAGTATATACATATGAGATGGGTAGTGCTAGATATGTAAACATTATTAAAGTGACTAGTGTTCCATTTCTTAAAGTGGCCAGTGATGGCTATTTATCAGTCTGATTGC